AAAAAAATTTAATTGGCTAAGAATACAAAGCAAAGGGTGCTCATATCAGATAATCAAATTTGTTGATGCAGTTGGATAAGCACGAGAGCTAAAGAATTGTCGCTATCAAGTAGATCATGATAGGCTAGCAGTCTAATCGGAGGCATAGCTCCCTAAATTGATGATTGCTTTAACCTTTACTACATCAAGTAGCGTCCGTTGGCGCAGCAATTATATATTGCTTTCCTTATGACCTTGGTTGTTCTCATCGAGCCACCGTTGGCAAAGAGATGGTTCTGCGACCTCTCACTCGATGAATGCGGTTGATGTCTATTATACTCCCGTACCAACAACCTGTTTTCTCTATTCTCCTTTTGAGAGTATTTCAAATCCTTATGGTCGGTGCTCTCCTGAATATGTTAAGATGTAAAGCTATACAAATTTAATGTTTGAAGATAAGCCGAAATGTGAATTGTTTATAGCACTAAGCACTCGAGCAAGACTATGTTTATGTGCGAGATTTTTTCTGATATGAGTTTACTCAGCTCGAATTGCTCCCACTGTTTACTTAGTTCCCACTTTTGTCGAATAAGTGGCGCATTGAGCAATACGCCTGGTCCCAAGTGCCGCGAGTTTTTGAGCATGACTCGTTCCTATCTTGTCTAAATTGTATTTTATTGCAGTACTTCTTGGGAATATTGCTTTCTTTTTGCACTACGGGAATAGTCTTCTTTTGTATCGAACATGTATTTGAAAAATCTTACACTTATACAGTATCATAAAATAAAGACGTCAGTCTTTGAACTTGTCCCTTTCCTGCAGTTCATGATGCAGATAAGATTCACTATTTTTGATTTTTTTGAACTTTAGTTTTTTTGTGGAGGAAGTTATCAGTGCATGTGAATGGTTTTTTTGAAATCTCTCCTAAGAACGTTTTATCGGGTATTCTTTCAAAAGTTTGGGAAATGGAGCAAGGTACTGTTGAATTAATGTTCTTTTCTTCCCTTCTGTCCAAAGTACTCCAAAGGTTTTAACAATTTCTCGTGGCTCTGAGATTTTTTAAACGTCAAATCTCCATGACAACCTTTTAATGGTACCATTCTAACGTGGCTCTATACTTTCATGCTTAATTTTGAGTTCTTTGGCTATTCACTTTGCCATGGAACTTTAAATGTCATGTTTGCATTTATTCCTGAATTTATGATCGCGCACACTATTTTTTTTAATCTGCCATCCATTCTTATTATCAGAAAGTGATGGCTGGTGCCTGCGTAAGTGGCAGTGGTGCAAACGGCTGAGCGAGCACTTGGTGCACGATATTAATACACACAATATGTTCTTAACGCCCAACTTAAGCGTGAATTGTGAAGAGTGCCCTTCTTATCTAGACTCGTTCTTAGGAAGGGGGTTCTGCATTGCTTTACCATTTCACATGCCGTGCTAAGCTTGTTCAAAAAATGTGAATAAGTCGAGAATGCCTTCGGTTACTTTTCCGTTACCTTAACTCATTTCTTGAATCATTCATAGACCACGGTAATCACTTTGCGTTTTATTATGGGATTAGTGAGCGGCATACGATTATATCAGATGCACGGTGTAATCCTTTTTATCAAATGACAATGTCAATTTGTCCAGGGGAATGGAAACCGAATTAGTTAGAAGTCCTATTGATCTCTTGGAATACAAATGAATGTCGAGCCGATATTGACAGCTTCGCAATTCCAATTTTTGTTTCTGACACATGTTCAGATTGTTGATCACGGGGAATTACTTGGTAATTATTTTTTCCCATAGCTCTTGGCCGCTTCCCTCATGTTGCTCTACCCTCAACTCTTCGTGCTTATTTCTCCTATCATCACTTTTTTCGAACGCTCTCCTCCTGCAG